TTGTCCCAACAAAAGCACCTCAAAAAACCCCTCAAATATAAAAGGCCTTTTGAATGTTCCTTTTTTTCCTTAGAGATCTGCTTTGTTTAAAAGAACTCCTGTTGCATGGTAAGGAAGAGGGGTGAAGGACCAGAGAGGCACTGGGAGAGCTGCAGACTCGGTTTTGGAGGGTCAGAGCTACACCCTGTGTGTAGAGAGCAGAGGAAGCCGGCTGCCTCCACGGGCTGTCTCGGGTCACCCCTGCGATAGGAAAGCAGCCCCACAGAGCTACTCAGTAGAAAAGTCTGGCAGGGCTGACACCTTCCTGCTGAAGGTCCTGGCTTCCATCCCCCATGGGCACCCACCAGAAATCACAGAATCAGTCACACAGGGTTGGAAGGGACCTCTGGAAATCACAGAATCACAGAATCTTAGTGGTTGGAAGGGACCTCTGAGATCATCGAGTCCAACCACACAAAAAACAAAACAAAACAAAACACCCCACACCACACCAAACGCCCACCAAAAACACCGCACCCACCAACTAAACCCCACACTCAACACCTCACCATAAACTAATAACCTTGGGCACTAGAGCATGCCCTGAAGAGCCATGTCTATACGTTTCTTAAATACTTCCAGGGATGGTGACTCCACCACCTCCCTGGGCAGGCTGTTCCAGTGCCTGACCACTCTCTCAGTAAAGTAATTCTTTCTAATATCTAATCTAAATCTCCCCTGCCCCAACTTCAGACCATTTCCTCTGGTCTTGTCGTTCGTCCTTTGGGAGAAGAGGCCAACACCTGCCTCTCTACAACCTCCTTTCAGGTAGTTCTAGAGGGCAATGAGGTCACCCCTCAGCCTCCTCTTCTCCAAACTAAATATGCCTAGTTCCCTCAGCCTCTCCTCATATCTTCTAATCATCTAGTCCAACCCCCCCCACCCTGCATCTCCCTCCATTTGGAAGGAGGCAGGTACCTAACTAAAAAGAACTTGCCTCCTTTAAAACACGGCCAGGTGGAAAAGGACTAATCCTTCAGCCTGATGGTCAGCACGTGCTGCTGAAGGGGCAGAGGAAGCTCTGATTGCCTCTCCCACCACTTTAACTGGGAGCCACAACACAAGAAGCAGTGAAAGTTTTGTGAGGCCAGAAGAATGCACAGGAATGAAAGAGATGCTGGTGCCTGGAGACCAGGATACTCAACTCCCACCTCTGTTTATGGGATTGCTGATGCATTTCACAACAGGTAACCACTGAACAAAGCCCAAAATCAGCCAGGCAGTCAGGACTCTCTTTGAGGTTTCCAATTTGCTCAAATTAGTAGGCTGCAAAGTCAGGCCCCCTCAAGTGAGTCCCTTACTTTCCATTTAGTCTCCTAAATCTCACAACGCTCCCTCTATCTAGGCTAACAAAATAGTTAAGAGGGCAGCTCAATCTATGCAATACCTTCTCGATTTCTAAATTTGAAATAACAGAAATGGAATAATTACCAGAACTTAAAAAGCTAGAAGGCTGGGTAATTTTAGAAGTGCCTTTATAAAGACTTATCTATGCCTGAACACGAGAAACCAAAGACCAAGTAATTAAAGATACAAAGGTTTGCACAATGCTAGACCTTGGTGTAGATGCTCTCACACAGAAGCAAAGTGGTCTAATTCCTTCAAACAAATTGGACCAACGGAGGCCAATTTAGTTTTGCAGGGAGAAGTCCACACCCTGGTTAAAGGTGCAGGTATCTTGTACCTCTTGTCTACAAAGAAGCATTGAAGGAAGTGAATCAAGTTCTGAAACACACAATCTTTTCTCCAGTGCAGTTATCAAAAGAAAGCACAAAAAAAGAGATTACAGGGAGATTCAGACACTTGAGAAAGTCAAAAGGTAAAACCTTAAAGCCCTGTTCATCCACATTTGACCCTGACATTCATAGGTGCCTAAGTTTCCCACATTATAATTCCTTAAATGGTTTGGGGTGAGATGAATCTGACTGCAAACACGTATTTCTCAACACTCCAGGTTTCTTTAGTCAGTGGAGAGGCGTTGGCTTTTCCAGGCTGTTTCTCACTACTTTTGGAAGGTAAACTTCAAAATAGCACCTATAAAAAATCATACCTGAAAACATCCACTCATCTCCACTGTCTGCAAAGGGGCCTCAAGTGATCAGTGGAGTTGCCTATGCTATAGATAGATAAAAGATCGCAGATGTATCCCTTCATATACATCTGCTTCTGCATGTGTCCAGCAGTGCTGCAGCAGTGAACAATGCAATGCCCATCTCAGACTAGAGTTTGCAAAATAAGCTTTACGTTATCTACATCACACGAGAAGTTGTATCCACAGGCATTTTCAGAGCTAAGGCTCCAAAACCCCCACAAACTAAGCCAGAAGTCTTGGTAGACCACTCCCTTAACCTAATAATTCCGTGGTGAATATTTTAGGAAGGAGATATAATATCAGCTCCTCTCAGGATCTCGGCGGTTTTTAACCCACAGCTTCTCTCCCTCCTGAATGCTTTAATCAGTGAATTATTACCTAATCTGAGGTAGGAACAGAAAGGGCAATCTAACTGCTTTCTGTAAAAGCCATTCCACTTTGAACAGAATAATTAAATATTCACTGGAAGAGAAAGAGACACCTGGGCCGGGGTAGTTACTCCAGCAGCAGTGATGGCGGAGCAACTGGTTTCCACTGCTGCTCTCCCGAAAACCTGTGAAACTTCACACCAAAGAGTGAAGTTTCACACTCTTCTTGTACCGAAGAGTGACTGGAGCAGAGCCTCCCGCTTTCCTGTGAGAGCACTCACGCCTTCTCTCTGGCCCAAGGAGTATTGAAGTTTCCCAGTGTGAAAGAGTGCACAGGAGGGGGACTGACAGTATCTCCCACCTCCTCGAGGACACACCGCAGCATACAGGCTGATAGACCACAGCTTCAGATCTCCTCCAGGGAGGAAGGGAAAGAAATCCAAGTCCAGAGAAGGAAATTCAAGATCATTATTCTCAGTTATTAACCCAACTGCTAGTAAAGAAGCAAGAAATTATTATCAAGGATGTCACTTCATGTCCCTTCCTTTGAAAGCGGTGGCTTCTTTGCAAAAAGACAGCACTGACAGCCCAAAGAACAACAGCGCTTCAACTATACTCCAGCACCAAAATTTTCCTGTAAACCTGGCTTCCTCTCCCATCCCAGCTATTTGGGAACCGCTCTCAGCCACCAAAATCTCCCCTCTGTCTTTCATGCAGAGCCCAGGCACAGTAAATCAAAAGGAGAGAGTGTTAAATTTATCACAGCAGTGAGTACGTCCCCTTTGGAGATCAGATTAACTCCATCTCTGAGGAACTTATTTTCCTTTATTCAACTAGACCTTTCCTTTTGACAGGGCAGCGTTAGTGGAATTCCTACTCATGTTGGTGAACAGGCTTAATTTTATTTCAGGTCAACCACAGAGGTTTGAATTGCAGTAATCTATTTAAGGCAGAGCACCAATTAAACAAGGAGTACGTCTCATTATTGCTATGTTCTGCACCCACACACCAGCAAAGCTGGTTATCTAGACAGGATAATAAAACAAAACAGGAACAAGCTCTACTTTGGTATTTATGAATACTGTGCACTTATCTGCAGAACTGTTAGTGATTTGATACCAAATGGCATTCGCGGTCACAAATAAAGCAGAACACAACCTGATATTCTGTGCATGAGGTATCTGTAACTTCTATTTTAAAACCAAAAATCAGCTCTGTAAGGGGCACTTAAGAAGTATCATCCATCACAACTCACATTTTCCTCCATGACACTCTACAGTCACGGATTTACGGCTCTTTTCCCTCCTCACGTCTGAGGAGAGTTGTGACTGCCTTCATTAATGCCGTTCTCGTTTGAGGGCAAGTTGTAGGAACTTTTATTCTGGTGGATTCTCACCAGCAGGTCCTGTGCCCAGGGCACTCACAGACACAACTCAGCCAAGGGACTCCTACTCAGCCATGAATTGAAAAGCCACGGCTGTTGTAGCTCAGTTGCTGGAAGACAGAGGTGGAATAAAAACTGAAACCTACTGGGGATACGAAAAACCAGAATCCTTCACTAGCACCAGAGGCAAATATGCGTGTTCCTATAACAGTTCTTCTCTGACAACTCTAATCTTGTAACCAAAGGTGGTAAAACTCACCCTCAGCCCGTCACAGATGGTCTGGATGGGAAGTAGTGGCACTAGGTGAGAGGCTTGGTGGCCCCACAGCTTCTCCAGGCATCTCCACCTCCTCCTGCCATCACCATACCTGTCACAACACAGCAGTGCAGAAGGTGATACCTCAGGGAGATGCAGGGGACCAGGCAATGAGAAGGGAAGAAGTGGTTGTTGCAGAGGTATGGAGAAGGAGTCTTAAAATAAGGCATGTGGGCAGCTGAGAAACTGGAAATACCATCCCTTCTCCAACTCTCCTTAGGGACATGCCTTGACTGTTTATCATTCAGAGAAATTACTCCAGCAGAATTTCTGCTGAATCATTAGCAAGCTGAAAAATTTCCCCAAGACAGCCAAGGTGCTGAACATTTTTCATTCTACTAATATGGGGAATAATCCATCACATACAAACATGCAGCACTTGAATCATAAAGGTCACTGTCTTGTGTTGAAATGAATCATGCCATGCAGTACCACTGCCTGTTTATTTCTTGCACAGCAAGATGATCTTAATTACTTAGTCCGAGCTAAAAAGGCTAAGTTCAGGCAGTATTTGGGGGAAAGTTATTTTCTTTTTAGGTCTTTCTCTCTTTCGCTGCATGGTATTTCATTTGGTTTGGATATATTGACACATCTCTACCCCTACATCTCAGAAGAGAGCATTCTGTACATTCTTTATACAAGAAACATCTTGGCTGAAACAAAACCATCTAAATCAGGCAAACAATCTTTGTTCTTTAATATGCAAATAAAATAAAATCTTGGAAACTACGAAGGTGGCCATTAAATCCAAGAAACCTGTGAATACAAGAAGATAGAGCAATTCTATAGACTTTCACCGCATTTTTGGAGAACGTTCATGTTTATTTTTTTTGTTTTGTTTGTTTCTCAGGTATTTTCACAGGTGTAATATGTACAGAAAAGACAATGCCATTCTACTCAACAGCTTTTTTAAAAACAGTAATTCAAGGTTTCTCCACATCAGAATATGACTATTCCTCAAAAAAAAAAAAAAAGAAAAAAATCAAACCAGTTCATAATGGCAAAGTAGTGGCTCCTGGGCTTAAGAAATTCCTCACTATTCCAACTGCAACAAACTTGTGCTCTGAGTTTTATTCTTCACACAAAAATAAATCAAAATATCTTTCAAGGAGGGCATTTTTTAATGATTTGAGAATTAAAAAATCTCAGATGATTGCAGAAAGACCACTGAAACCTGGCTGCTGTTTATGCATATGCCCAAATGAAAGAAAATATGCAAACATTAACCATACAAGTGGAAAAAAAAAAAGTAACCGAAAGCAGTAAGAGGCAAAACAATTTTCTTCTCTATATACATAAATATTTTTACGTGAGTAACAAGAAGTGTCAAAAATACACAACTGAGCACAAAAGAATCATTTTAGCAATAGATTTGTACAAATGAGATTTATGTAAGCAGCATGCTTCGACAGAATGAATTAAAATGCAACGTAATTCAAAATACATTCATTTCAATCCTCCATACCAAAGATCTCTGGAAATGTAACATGAGGGAATACAGATCAGTAACAAGTATCATTTCTAGAGAGGAAGAAAATCATAATTCCCCAGTAGAATGAAGACAGATCAATTTCAGTTTTTAAAATCCTTGGTCTTGGTCAAGGTCAAGCCCACTAAAGTCCTCAGGAGCCCCAATCCTGCCCACACGTGGGTGTTTTAGCATTACAAACATTAGCAAGGTTCTGCTGATCTTGGCAGGATCGCAGACTGAGCAGTTTAGGGGGTTCAACTTGGTCCTAGGACTTCAGCTGTAATTATCAAGGCACTGCTCTAAAGACAGGATATTAAACACAATAGGCCAAATGGTTCTGTAAACACATCAGTACCCTGGGGATATTTCTATGCTGCCTTTTTTTTCTTTTTTTGGAACACCACTGATCAACTCCAAAACCTGGGGAAGTGCCACGTTAATTCACCTCAGAATTTGGGCCACACAATTTGCATTTCTTTTCTCGGAGCATCAGCAGACACAGCTCTGAGCAGAATCTCTGTTCCAGACAGTGTAAACAAACAATAAATTATCAAGACAAATTAACTTTCTTTGATGTTTGCAATTTCTACTTCTCAGCCAGTACTTATCAGACAGAGCTTACGAAATCCTCACAAAACCTTTTCCCTTCCCCCTTCAAGAAAGCAATTTCACCGACTTTCCTGTATTACTCATCTTCTTTCCCTCTTGAGTTATGTTTTACGACATTCATTCAAACCTCTCACATTATAGCTCTGGAAGACAGCAAAAATACCTGTTCCTGCCATCTTAGACAGTGTATACTCTCACTCTATTACATAAGCTCTAAGCACAATTGTGCTGCTTTCAGAGATAAACAGGCACGACAGCTCTGGAACAGAAAATCCATACTAACCAGGTCATAAACTTCCGCTATCAATGTAAATGTAATTGAGAAATAAAAGCTATATACTGCAAAGACACACTAAAACACTCTGTTTTGCAGCACAACTCCTTTACTGCCCGTCAATTTGATCAGAAAAATCCACACTGTCAGCAGTGAAGTTGATAAGGAACAGAAAAGCAGGGACATCAATAACGTCACCACCGCCTGGGTGCCTCTACATGTAACCCACAACCTCAGCTTATCAGTCTTGTTTTTTTTTTAAAAAGAAATTACTAAAATCACAGTTGTTGCTTTTATACTCCTGAAATTTAACTATTGCCATCACTTTTACCGATATGTGTCTATAAGAACAAGAAAGAACTGTCAAATTAGTTCTTCACTGAAGAGCTAAATAAAATCTGGGGTGTAAATGTTCAGTTGGCCTCAGGAAGCAAGCAGCATCTGGGCATCCACACAGTACGGGGCGTTTCCTTCATACCCTCACTTCAATATTTATGCAGAAATAGATAAAATTGCCATTATCTGTTCCTTGGGTACAAGAACAATGAAGAGGTCCCCAAGCCTTGGGGTACTGAAAGAGAGATGGAAGCCTCAGAGCAACTGGGGATCTCACTTCAAAGCCCAAATCTAAGTCTTATTTTATTTACCTCACACTGAATATTTATTTAGCTGATTAAAAATAAAATAAAATAAACCCCTCAGTCTAGATTGCTATCATCAAGGAAAACCTTTGCCTTTCTGCTTTGTAGGCAGGTACCATGACAGCCTGACATTAATGAGAAAGGTGGTCTGGCATTTCAGGGAGAAGCTGAAGCTCAGTAGATGAGGGCAGCAGAGTAACTGCCGGAGGCAGTTCCTACAGAGGAAACAGGGCAACAAAAGAAAGAAAAAAAAAGAATCAATGTGAAGTGGTATTGGAGGGAAAAGGGGAATTGAACTTGCATCCCCAGCAAACTCCACTGGCCAACTGTTATTCATTATTATCATTTTATGGTTTCAGTCTAATACTTAAACTGGAAAACAAGCTAAGTCATTTCCTTAGTCATTACTGTGTAGACTAAGTCCTAGCCTCAGCTATGGTTCACGTGCTATTTGTTTGCTGGTTTCCCTACTATTTCTAGTTCTACCCCAACGAATGCCTGACTGCACGATTTCAGCAGCGTAGAGTGCACAGCCTTAGATGAGCTCCAAGCAGAAACAGTGTGACACCAATACAGTGTAAATTGAAGGCCCAAAGTTACAATTCCAGAGAGGTTCTCAGGCACACCCTCAGGTCTGGCCAGCTTGTAACAGCCTAAAATAAACTACAGCCACCCTTTCCCCCCTGTAACAATTTTCACTCTATTTTCCTAAATCTCATGTTAGCCTAAACCTGAGGTTGTGGTATTTTCGTTGCTTTCTTTCCCTTCATTCCTCCCTTTTCTCCCTCCAACTTCCCCGTTAACTGAGCAGTTAATGTTACTTTTGATCAATTTTTAGAAAAACAGAAAACCTATGCCTGTATGTGTAGCTATACCAACAGAAATTGCCCTCCTAGAGCTTACACGGGTCTTTCATTGAAATTCACTGATATAACAAATAATAATAACACCCCTTCAATATAGAACAAAATATTCCAATGAACAAATTCCATCGTAAATTTTGTAAAGTGCACAAAAATATTAATGGAAATACTAAAAAAAAAAAAAAGAAGAAGAAAAAAGTTTTCTAGTGTCACCATGAAAACTTCTGAAATATTGTTTAAATTAAATAGAAGTAACCTAACGAGACTTTTTGGCTCTAATATATTGGCAAACAGCAGCAACATTTTTCAGAAAAATTACACCAACTCAATATACTGTATCTTAGCAGCATAAAAAGTCCCTACAATTAGATGCAATTGTAGGCCTAGTAAGCATAAACCTGACAAAATGTTACAAATGTAGGTTTTTCTCATTTAAAACAATGGATTTCCATGGAATCCTAGAGGTAACATTTGTTATTTTGTTTTTACATTGTATTCTGGTAGTAAACCCAACGGTAACCAACTTTCCCTCCCTTTATCTCTCCTCCCGAAAATTGCACAGAGAACTGGAAAATTTAATCAAGTTATAAGATATGGCCACATGGAAAAAGCCATATTAAACAAAACAAAATTCAACCTAAAGCCTAAAAAACAAACAATCCCAGGAAATAACAATCATTGTCAAGCAACCACAGCTTCAGACCACCGACCGATGCTCCCCGCACACGTAGATGGCGCTGGGTCGGATGCGCCGCCTGGTGTGGCCAGGAAGCTGGGGCAAAAACTTGAAGTATTTGGGCATCAAGTCCAAGCATGCATCATGAAACTTCTTAATCCTCCAGTAGTAAATCAGTGGGTTCAGTGCAGACTTGAGGTAGCAGAGCCAAAGGAGCCAAGTGCTTATCTCGAAAAAGTTGTGCTTGTAGTAGAAGTGGCTGTTGAATGTGGCAATAAGGCTGTACGTGGTGAAGGGCGCCCAACAGACTATGAAGACAAGGAACAAAATCAAGATGGTTGTGAAGGCACGAGTTTTAAAGCTCATATCAATATTCATCTGGAAAGGTCTCTGTAAGCTCATGAGACCGAGTTTGCTGGCCTGGCTGAGGCATATGCTATCAGGGTGGCTGTGGATACGAACTGCGTTGTGGCGGACCGTGTTGAGTATGCCCATAAAAGAATACAGCATTACCAGGAACGGAATAAAAAAAGAAATTAGCAAGATAACTATCACGTAGGCTCGGTAACCTGGGCTTGTAGAGTAGCCAAAAACACACTGAGGTGCTCTCGAGGGTACCTGCAGGTTAGGATTCCCTACTGATAACGGAAAAGCAACAACAAAGGATGCCGCCCAGGAAATCACAATGAGAATCTTTGCACGATAAGGGTTCAGTTTATCTTGCCTCTGAACTATGATAAGAAATCGGTCAATGCTAATAATAAGAAGAATGGCTACCCCCTCTATGACAAAAAGCCAGAAGAACATGGCAGAGACTCTGCAAAATATATCCCCAAAAATCCACCGGGTGGTAATGATTGTTACTAGAGCAAAAGGCATGTTCAGCACTGCCAGCAGCATGTCTGCGAAAGCCAGGCTCGCTAAGAGGATGTTAATTGCAGATCGCATAGCTGCCTTCTGGTAGACCATGAGGCAGACCACAAAGTTTCCAAGGAAAGAAACCAACAGGATAAATATCATAGCAGCAGAAAGAATGATCTGGAGTGGCAAACTCAAGCTCCTGAAAACTTCTTGCGATGGCAGGATAGCTGTAGTGTTTACCAGAAAAGTACTTCTCTCGGTGGTGAGCACAGCACCCGAACTATATCTCAATGGCTGCGTCGTGCCACTACGAAGCAAGAACTGTGGAGTGGTAAAATTCGTATAGGCATTTTCATAAACAATAAAAGTAGCATTTGAGGTCCCAGAGTGGGCCAGCGTCAACATTGCTGAGAAAACCATTGCTTCAGGAGAAATGAAAGCAGAACCAAAGGTCTTCAAGGCATTTCATCTTGTTCAGGCAGTATCTTATTCCTGGTCATTTAACAAATCAAAATTCAATGTCTGAAAGCGTCAAAGTTCTTAAAGTCATGTCAGTATTTCCATCTGAAAATGAAGAAAGAAATTGAAAGAAACAAATTAAGACTCTCTAAAACCAATGGGAACCAAATGATTGCTCCGCTTTCCCTAACGACAAAAGGATTCTTAATACATATTTATACTTTAAGTCAACACAATTTACTTCAGCACCAGTCAGAAGAGTCTTGGAACACTTGGTCTTTTTCTTATAGATCCTGCTCCTGTAGTCTTGCCGATACTGTACAGTACTCTCAAATCACCAAGCTTTTTTTTTCTACTATAACCAGGACTGGACAACTTTTGTGTTTGAAGACAAACTTTATCGATAAAGAAATGAATCAAATCAGTATCTTTATTTAAATCTCATAGTTTTTAAACTAACTTCATGATTTTGTTTTGCAATTGCCTACAGCTGAAAACATTTGGAAATGTTACTAGTCTCGCTTATCTGCCTGTTTGGTAAGCACTGAAAAGCCTACCTGAGCTATCCTACGTAATACAGAATCCTTGGTTCCATATCAGTCATCAGCAGCAGATGCCTCAGGAAAAAAACATGTAAAACATCCTAACCTGTTATTAATTATTAACTAACTTGTCCACAGGATTAAAGTATCTCTCAATTTGTTTCATCTAGTGACTGACTCATATCAAGGTGCAGGAAACTAACTCTTCTTCAGTCACTACAGCCCTTCCCCCTGCAGCAAGCTCTCCTGCTTCCACTGGTCTAGACATGTCTTTGTTAATCCATCTTGGCATCCCACATACTTTAACTGTGCGCTCCCTTTTTTCCTGTAAATGTAATCCTTAGACATTCTGCTGAACTCTCTTCCTCGCTGTTATGTTGATACAATGCCTCGTTTCCTTTTATAGTTTACGGGTACTGTCTTGTTGTACTATTATTACATGTTTTGTGTTAGTAAGTGCACTAAACTTACAGACAAAAAAGTGCAAAGCAGTTGATTGTTGTCTCCCCATTTCAGTGCTAGCTCTTCATAGTACTCCTCCCCTCTGTCTCGGACTATTAAATTAAATGCTTCCAGAGTACTCTGGCATCTGATCAAGCTGGAAACCAAAAGGACTCTATGCTCTTTTAAAAAACAGATCACCACAGCCAGAAAAACAAAGTGGGATTAACTTTATTCATTTTGGATGACTGTAATAGTCACTCCAGTCTGCTTTCATGTTTTTAGTCATACGAGAGAGACAGGCATCTTCAGAGGGTGATCCATCTCCTCCACCTCTGTACATGGTGACAAGCTTGTGCTACTAACTCAAGAAGCTTCTGCGTGGTTACACAAATCCTGCCTGCAGTACTTGTGCAGGTTCTGTTTGCTATCAACATCCAGCAGAAGTGAAAGGAGGAAGGAACGCTTCCACAAATTTACACAAGTACCACATGCCTTGTGGATGATCAAAAATTTACTCTTCCCTGGATACTACTTCACCAACAAAGAAATGAACTGTAAGCCAACAAAGCCCAACCTACGTCCTCACTTTGGACTTCTAGCGATCGGAATGTAAGCCTGCTCAGGCTGCTGCCAAGGATTCACCATGAACTTCAGCGCCATGACCCACTCCTCTCATTCCACAGCAAAGTCATTCCCTTCCTATCTGCAAACTCAATATCACTGATTTCCAGGGCCAGGCCGCCTACAGCGTTTTTTCTAAGACAAATGATTAACCTCTCTTCTCCTCTAACCTTCAATGATATCACGAAGGGACATTATAAACTTCCTAATTTCATGGAGTCATACATAGACCACTTTCTAGAGGTCTTCCTGCTTACATGGGAGGGAATGTCACAACTTTCTATTTTATTCTATTTCAAAGATTGTTAAACTCAGCAAGAGTATACTAAGCTATGTACAATGACATTTTGCAAAAACGCAAGATTCTGTTAAATTTATTCTAAATTTTCCTTTTCTCTCCCTTTCATTTTCACTTTACACTAACTCTTCTAGATAAAGCCTCAATGTTAATTACAGGCTAAAGCATATATAATAGTCAAAATCTTCTTTGGTCTTTATAAACTTTTCCTTTACTTGTCATCTTTAACATATTTGTTAGAATAAAACCTGTAGCCAACAGCAGAAAGGTCAATACAGCTTTCCAGGATAAGCAAGCAAGGATTTTAGCAATGAACATGAATATCTCACCCGAAGTTCCACCAAGGTTTATGACTCCGCAAGCCAAGAATACTGAAGAGGGAAGGAAGCTGTAGCGTTCTGCAGGGACTGCAAAAGAGGATAAATTCAACAAATAATTCTGGATTTTAAATGGAGTACAGAAAACTAGATCCCCCGGGCAGTACTTTTTAGAGGTCTGTAAGCAGTAAGCCAGCAAAGGTAACTTTTGCATTTCTGATTGTTTTTGACAAGATCTCTCCACCAAGGCTCTAAAAGAAACTAATTTGTCACTAGATAAATGTAAAGCCCTCACACAATAATCAGTCTAAAACAGGAAACAAAAGAAGGAGCAGTTTTGCAGTGAAAAAAGGTCACTAGAATGATCCTAAAAAGCAAATCTATACTGGTGTTCAAGCTCCTCAACCTATACGAGAGAAAAGGGAAATGTGAAACCACAACATTTGCTGATGATGACCATGAATTGTTTTCCAGAGCAATTTAATAAAAACAAAGGTCAACTATAAAGAGGTACAGAAGGATCTCATGACAGTTAGTGACAAGCTAATAGACTGCCAGAAGCAATCAGACACTTTTAATGTAGTCAAAAAGATTGTGCTACTTTGCATTTCTCAAGCCATAGCATCCCATATATAGCAAAGGACTCATAGGTGTCTACAGACCGTTCCTAACAAACCCAGAAAAAGTGACTAAGAAAAATAACCTCCTATATGCTCTCTCACCATCCCAGCTCCCTAAGCAAACAGTTTTAGTCCTAGTTTGTGCTTTCTCCCCTCAGTGTAAAGCTTGCAGGCTTTTCTGTACAGTGTTAAGAGAAGAGGAGGAGAACCAATGCAAGCCGCTGCCTGGACTTGGCCAAGTGCCTGAAGCGGGCAGCGAGTGTTAGCCATTTGGCTGATGCCGAAGTCATCGGCCATATCTTCTTTTCAAGAAGGACGAAAGAGTGAGCGGTGATCAGCTGCTGCAAAGAAGACATGTAACCTAGTAAGAGGACTTCAGGCTTTGGGTCCCAGATAGAAAGAAACTGGAGTGTTCTCCTGTGCCTGTTGCTTCTCGATTGATGGTTCCCTTCTCTGTTTATCACTCTGAGGTATGACAGCTCTCCCTGAGCTGCATACTGCATCTCCATGCTCAAATGTGTTCTGGAGTTACACTTATCTAACCTGCAGGCAAGTTAGTTATGCTCTTTCCTGACTACCATCCTTCGTAAAAGTGATTGGCATTTCCGCCAGTAAATTCCAAAGGATCCTTTCTGTAGCAGTCACATATAATTTTTTTTTTTTTCTTGCTACTTAAAGGGCTTTTAGCAGAAGCTTCCGCATGATTATCGAACATGTGCCTCCATCCCTCTTCCTACCCTTTCAACTTCCCCAAAATTACATAGAGGTCTAAGCTGAAAGGCTGAAAGAAAGGGACCAATAAGATACCTTCGCAGCAATTTCATTTCAATCCTCACATGCTTTTTGAGAAAGACAGATCCTGTAAGTTCAAAGCCAGACTCATTGCTGAATGGTAATCACACAGTTTATAAAAGATGACCTTGGCAGTTTAAATAGGTAAGCTTACTGATGGTTAAAGTACTCATGTAAGAGGCAGGTACCTTTTTGTCAAAGCATTCCCACTTTTGGAACATGTACTCTCACTGATTCTTTTCAGATGCAAAAAAGCTCCACACAATCACTTTTTTTCCGTTTCAGTGCTGAAAATTACTGGGTATGCACATTTTCTCTCAAGCAAGGTTCTCACTCATATGCAACTTTCTTTTTATGGAACATAATAGACACAGTTATTTCAATGAAGTACACACTTAAAGCTAAATACCACACAAATTTCATTCATCAAATATAATTATTGCTAGAACTATGGCGTCTGTTTTTAACAGCTTTTGGAACTAAAAGGTTTCCATTCAAAATTTGGATAGCATGCTCAACCAGAAATAAAAGATTATATCTTATATGCAAAGCCAACATCAGTCAAACCCAGTAACTCCAATATAGACAAAATAGAAAACAGCATCATAATAACAGTTATGTTTAATGCAGATCAGAACATGCCACGAACAGCTGCCAAAACGTTCAATGATTTATTAAACTTATCTGGTAAAAGTAAGCTTATTTTCAGTGCTGTCTAGGCACCAAGACTTGGTCCAGCACACAGAAATTAATCTCCTGCAGAAACTTGAAGCTAGCAATGCCTGGTACAGTGATCCTATTTCTTGGGTGTGTTTTAAGTGGTCACAAACAGGAAAACTTCTGCATGCTTTATAGCTACTATCAGTGGTTTTATTTTGAAGGTAAACTTTGGCAAAAACAATTTTTGCAACATAAAAAAAACATTAAAAAGGCAAAAAATTCTTAGAGGAAAAAAGGTTAAGTCAACAGCAAACCTGAAAGCCGTGGGCTTCTTTTGTTTTCAAAAAGAATTATGTGTTGGTAGAAAATACTCAAGTATGTGCTCTCTGACACCCCATTATTGTACAAAGCAGCCCGGGACACACTCCCCTCTCAATACGAATCCAGCATTGTTTCCTGTGCCATTAAGCAGAGGCAGGAACATATTGCAATGGAATCCTTTCTGCTAAAGCCAGTGCATAGAATGACTCAGAGCACAAATCAGCAGGGACAATGTTCTTACTCACCTAACTGTTCCTCCTAAAAGGAACTAGCAGTTTTCAGTTTTAATACCTATTTACATAGTCTAAATTGTAACTAATCAACCACACTGCATGAGTAGATGACCCATAAAACTATTCACAAGAGGCATTAGTTTAATTTAGGAAATTTTCCTTTTTTCCACTCCATAAACACTACTGTGGCAATTTCATAGAAAAGTATTGTGGGAAACAACCACCTCTGCTTTGGGTCATTAAGTATAACTAATTGTCCTTTTGAGGATATTTCTTTCTGTCCTTAATTCAGAGAGCCATTAACTGTCAAGAAATGTCAGCCACAGAAATCATTATTACTATTCTAAACCGCAAATATGCAAAGTGTAAAGAATAATTCTATTTTCTTGGCTCTTGGGAAAAATCATGCTCTCAATTTGTGGATGATGTGAAAGGTCTTATGTAGTTCTGGGTTCATTTCTAGTACTGTCACAATATTCCCCCCGACTTCTAACTTTTCCACTAGTTCAATATTAGCCCTATTCATGTTAAAGAGCTAACTGAATATTGTAGTACCTGAAAGAACAGTAACCATTGAAAATACTATTGAAAACATACTGTTAATTCATAGTTTCTGCCTAGTTATTAACATCTAACTAACAAGTTGGAAACTTTCTTAATGCTTGAATTCCTAAATTTTAAGTGGACTGTTTGATTATACATGCAATCGCTACATGTCAGTCTGAAAAATTTTTTAAAAAAATTTTAAAAAACCAGACATACCGATCCAGACAGGCTCCCATGAAGTGTAAGAATCATAAGTCATCTTGTGCTGGTCTGTTCAGCAAAGTATTCTCTTTCTAAATAACCTGTCAAAAAAAAAAAAAAAAAAGTCAGTCACATATTTACACACAAGGCAGGACAAGATCAGAATAGCAAGAGGTTTTCCTGTAATAAAACTCTATTTTTATTGGGAGAGGGAGATTACACTCTGTCTCCTGACAAAAGGCAGACCACATACCCCTTTCTTGCAGGAGGCAGAGATCTTAGGCAGGACTAAGGTTATTATAATAACCATTAGGTTATTATGGACTTTCACCACTTGGTTTGTTCCCTCTTTAGTGAGATAAGTATTATAAACTGTTAATTTTCCCTCTTCGGCTTTTTGAATTGTCAAAGAAGTGAACAGGCTTGCAAGGAGGCAGGAGACACTGCCAGGAACTTGGACAGATTAATTACAGTGACAACTTGTCAGATCTTCCCACCAGACACGAGCATTCCCTGACCCAAGAACCATTTCTTCTCTCTACTACGTGTTTATAGAAAGTATTTCCAACTCTCATTAAAAATATCTTTAAAACCAATTTAGAAAAGCATCCAAAACATCACCATAAACTAGAAAGTTCTTCCACTTCAAGCCTCCAAGAAGGGAAAAAATAAAGGTACTTTTTCAAAGTAAATATGGACAATTTTACTAACTTTGAGTAAGAGCTTACAGAGCTTGCTCTTAACTGATTGCTTGGGTAGTTTTCTGTTGGCAATCAGGGGTTAACACTATTTCCAAGTGACATTCCTCTTTTCTACCCATTATAAATGATTAGTTGGGATTTTTTGGAAGAACAGAGGGGGAAAAGCTCTGCAACCCTTCACAATCCTGCAAGGAAATTTGAATGCAAGGATTCCTGCACCTGCAAAGAGCTCTATTTGTGGAATTGCAACCTTGATGATACCAGCATTTAGAGCTGGCAGAGCTCCAAAAGGGTAGTCCTGACCTCTTCCTCATTCCCAAACCCAGCTCCCCAGTCCTGAAGCAAAAAGATTAATCTGGACTAAAACAGACCCTGACAAGCAAATTTAAAAGCTTCACATCCCTGGCCTTAAACTGTGAGAAGTTGAGGTACGCAGATCAAGGCATAAGGTCTAGATTTGGCTTCTATATACTAAGAGGTATTTAATTTCAGGACAGTATTGTACCATAAAGCATGGAATTTGCATCCTATTAGGTCTATTTCGATTCCCCAAACCAGGAACTGTCATTTCCAAAAAACTGAAATAGCAGAACTAAAATCACAGAGATCTTAAACACCATTAAACTTAAAAATGTTTCCCACAAACATTCAGATCATGCTAAAAAACTTCGCAACAGGCTAGAGATGGTCTCAAAAATATTATTAAATGTTTTCAGTATACCATCGCTTTTCAAATGAGTCATAACTTTTGTTAAGGACTTTAGTCAGCATCTCTCTTGCACCTAGTCCACAGCCATTTTTTAGCAAGTTTTCTTAACATTTTCTTGGGACATTAAGTCACACCATGAGCAAAAAAAAACTGAAATACTGAACATTTCCTTTCTTCACCAAAAAGTCAGTCTATCAGAAGATAATAGGCAAGAGAAAAAAGCCTGCTTCAAGCCAGAAAGCTTTAACAGAGTTGTCCTAAGGCTATTTTGGCTTTTCAACCAGAGCAGCTTGTCCAGTGTATTCTCTGAATGGAAGACTGAGTTCTCTGAAGATGTTCACCTTCACATACCGTAAGGTAAAGACCTAAAGGCCCCTTGTAATACTTCACTCTTGCCTTCTTTGTAGTGTTCAATACACCTGACATACACAATTGCACTGCTTTCTCCTAAAAACATGGGAAGATGGATTTTCTTATTCGTCAGTAGTTTTGACAATGATCATTAGAATGCTATCTTCTGCCAAAACGTGAGGGCTAACAAAATTCATCTTGTAAAGATGGTAACCCCATCGTCAACAGCATTCTATATTGACAGAACTTACTAAGCTATCTTTCCCACAAAAACATACCTGTTTTTTGAAACAAAATTTATTTTAACAAAAAATTCACCTTTTTATAAAAAGGTGCAGGGATGCTAATGGCCAAATTCTGCTGCTGCCCAAGAGTCTTGCTGGGATCCTGCTTCTTGGTCACAGAGAGGAGGTGCTGGGGAGCAAGTTAAATGAGGTGACTGCATTTCAGCATCACAAACACCACTGCTCACGGCATCCTGCTCTGGGAGTGCTTAAATGCTGAGAGGGTAAGATTTAGCTAAGAACTAAACGAAGATTTAATTTATGTGCACATTTATGTATTTATATTATACACTTTTCTTCTTATGTGCATGTGTGTGTATATTTGCAATACTTATTAGCATCTCTATTCAGCCAAAACCAAACATAAAATGCTTCATGTTCCTTTGACTTTTTCCCCCCAGATTTACCCTATACCTAGTCCATTAAAAATCAGCTATGCTAAAACAGTAACTTATTTTTGACACTATAGAAACAGAGACTAAATAAATTAACTAGCTCTTAACAGTTATCCCTGTCATCTAATTGTTTTAATAGCTTCCGAATTATTTTTTTCTAAGACCAGCTAACCTGAATAACACTTTCAACAGAGCAATTGTTCCTGAGAAACAATCCTAGTTAGAAATCTCTTTATACTTTAGATTAAAAAGACAGTTCCACTGAGTGTTCCCATTTGAACCATTCTCAGGGTGAGATGACACCTTACAGATGTTCAAATCCCATGCAATACAAGCATTAACAATTTCTGTACAGATGTGACAGGCAGGGCTTGGAACATGCATCACGAACTGATAAAATAACTTCATTAAATTTACAAGCCAAAAACATTTAAATGAGTCCACTGGCGATTTTTAAAACACCCTTTTTTTTTTTAATGTAATGCAAGAGATCACTATTTCATCCTTTTTTTTTTTTCTAACAATGCAAAGCAAACAAATGTAAGCATCAACTGAAGGATTCAAATCCTTTGTAGGAACAATCTTTTTAACTACGTTATAATTCCCTGTTACAAATAACTTGACAGTTAATTGAAGGGCTTTTGCACTACTCGGTGGTTTTGTGCTACATGGGACCAGTTAAACAAACAGTAGGCCAAATCAAATGTCTCGCATGGATAGCGTTACAGCAGTTCCCAGTTCACAAACCTCACATTAAAGAAAGGCTTGTTTCCATGGAAAAGTTCCTTCAGTAATAAGAGTGATAGATTTTCACACTATTTTTTAAAAATAATTAACATTAAACAAAAAACAAAGACATCCTTGCAAAAAAAATAATCATCAAGAAACCCACAACACTAAAAAAAGCCCCCCAAAGCCCCCAAAAAAACACTTTAAAACACCCAAACCTACACAAGAATAACTATCTTACTAGGAAGAAGTCACCCATTAACTCATGTTGTCTTGTACTTTGGTAGCTCAAGATTATATTTCCCTATTTAACCGAAAGCTGTTGAAGTATGCTCAATTAACTTATTTTGCAAATAACACTGAAGTGTTTCTTCAGTTACAGACAAGTTTATTTGGTCTCAATGTCAATATGAAACATCCTGAGAAAATACTATATGGAATTTATCATCTGGTATGCAAGGTGATTCTGAATAGAATAATATATGTAATATACAATTTCTTAATTTGATTGCAACTACTCAGCAACCGCTGAAAAATTCAGACCGAGAGACTTGTATCCATTTTTTAGAGAACTAAAATGCACGAAAGTTATTAACAACTCGAAGTTATGGGCAAGATTTCTAGGAAAACAAGTGTAATGACACCCACCGTAAGAGACCAGAAGTGAAATCCTTGCCTCTGTGCTCTCTATAATCTCTTCATAAACCCTTAAATATTGTTCATGTTGAAATTAACATTACTTAGTTCAAGACATCAAAAAGAACACATACAAAATCACAAATGATGCTTCTCCTGTATTTTTAAGACAGAAGAAAAAAAGTAAGAAAAGGAAAAACTACTGGGGAACATTTGCATTCTAAAGAATCCTGTATGGAGCTACTACAGAAGGTATCATGACTGTCAATAAAAATACAACTTTTCTGCCGCCTTCTTGGATTGATTTGAAGTTAGGTATTTTTGTCTAATCTGATTATTTTCTCTTTATTTCTACCAAACCCACTTTCCTACTCCAGATGTAACAGTCAAGCTTGTGGTAGCAGCTACTTTACATTCACAGAGCTGCTGAAAATAACTTCTATTGAGTTTTTTGCCTATAAAATCATTATTGTTTTTTCCATTGAAAATCTAATTGAATTCAACATATTTCTACAAACTCCCTCAAATAAAAGCTCAAAATGAAACTGATTGTTTATACATCCTTATAAAAAAGATCCACTTTAACAAGGCTTCTTCCAGCGCATCTGGCTAGAGTACAGTACATTTACTTTAGTTCCCTCAAAATATTTCTCATCTGGGTTCAACCAACGACCCAAGAGCCACAATTAATGCTTCAGAACATCTTCTGGCTTGCTGTCTTCTTCCCACTATCCCTTTCCTATGGGCACTTTGCAGCAGCAGTTAATCTGACCCACAGCAAGCTCTTGGTTGCCAGCTTTCTCATGGGTCCCACGGGTCCTTCCATCACACAACGGGCACACGGTTTGTCAGAAGGTGACACATGGCATCTTTAGAGAGCAAACAGCCATCACAACAATTAAACTGGCTCAATCCTCCAGTCCTTCAGCAAAGGAGCAATTAAAGAGAAGCCATGATTTACATACTGTGACAGCTGCAGTCTGCTCCTGGCTACTGTTTCCAGCGATAAAACATCCGTATGTAGGACCGACAGTACACATGTCAATGCAATAAATCCAATCGTATGACAAACATGGAGGCAATACATATAAACATATATATATGCACATATATATATATATGCATAAACATATAGCGCACTTAATGCCATCTCCATAATGCCCTCTGTTGCCTATCTGGCTGAAAAGACCAGAAACAGTTCTTTCCTAAACTCTAAATAACTGTTTAAATGCTGCATGTTCAAGAGTGTTAACACTTCTGGCACACTGACTCATTTTCCAGAATGTGTTTTATTGAAA